ACACTATCTGAACGGCATCCAGGGGTTAATATCATCAACTACTTTTGAACGGCATCCAGGGGTTAATATCATCAACACTATTTGAACGGCATCTAGGGGTTAATATCATCAACACTATTTGAACGGCATCCAGGGTGTTAATATCATCAACACTATTTGAACGGCATCCAGGGGTTAATATCATCAACACTATTTGAACGGCATCCAGTGTGTTAATATCATCAACACTATTTGAACGGCATCCAGGGTGTTAATATCATCAACACTATTTGAACGGCATCCAGGGGGTTATCATCAACACTACTTGAACAGCATCCAGGGCTAATATCATCAACACTATTTGAACGGCATCCAGGGGTGTTCATCATCAACACTATTTGAACGGCATCCAGGGGTTAATATCATCAACACTATTTGAACGGCATCCAGGGTGTTCATATCATCAACACTATTTGAACGGCATCCAGGGGTTAATATCATCAACACTATTTGAACGGCATCCAGGGGTTAATATCATCAACACTATTTGAACGGCATCCAGAGTGTTAATATCATCAACACTATTTGAACGGCATCCAGGGGGTTAATATCATCAACACTATTTGAACGGCATCCAGGGGTTAATATCATCAACACTATCTGAACGGCATCCAGAGTGTTCATATGAACACTAATAGAACGGCATCCAGGGGGTTAATATCATCAACACTATCTGAACGGCATCCAGAGTGTTCATATGAACACTATTTGAACGGCATCCAGGGGGCTTATATCATCAACACTATTTGAACGGCATCTAGGGGGTTAATATCATCAACACTATCTGAACGGCATCCAGAGTGTTCATATGAACACTATTTGAACGGCATCTAGGGGGTTAATATCATCAACACTATCTGAACGGCATCCAGAGTGTTCATATGAACACTACTTGAACGGCATCCAGGGGCTAATATCATCAACACTATTTGAACGGCATCTAGGGGTTAATATCATCAACACTATTTGAACGGCATCCAGAGTGTTCATCATCAACACTATTTGAACGGCATCTAGGGGTTAATATCATCAACACTATTTGAACGGCATCCAGAGTGTTCATATCATCAACACTATTTGAACGGCATCTAGGGGTTAATATCATCAACACTATCTGAACGGCATCCAGGGGTTCATATCATCAACACTATTTGAACGGCATCTAGGGGTTAATATCATCAACACTATTTGAACGGCATCCAGGAGTGTTCATATGAACACTACACTATTTGAACGGCATCCAGGGGTTGATATCATCAACACTATTTGAACGGCATCTAGGGGTTAATATCATCAACACTATCTGAACGGCATCCAGAGTGTTCATATGAACACTATTTGAACGGCATCCAGGGGTTAATATCATCAACACTATCTGAACGGCATCCAGAGTGTTCATATGAACACTATTTGAACGGCATCCAGGGGGTTAATATCATCAACACTATTTGAACGGCATCCAGGGGGCTAATATCATCAACACTATCTGAACGGCATCCAGAGTGTTCATATGAACACTATTTGAACGGCATCTAGGGGGTTAATATCATCAACACTATCTGAACGGCATCTAGGGGGTTAATATCATCAACACTATCTGAACGGCATCCAGAGTGTTCATATGAACACTGATTGAACGGCATCCAGGGGGTTAATATCATCAACACTATCTGAACGGCATCCAGAGTGTTCATATGAACACTACTTGAACGGCATCCAGGGGGCTAATATCATCAACACTATTTGAACGGCATCTAGGGGGTTAATATCATCAACACTATCTGAACGGCATCCAGAGTGTTCATATGAACACTATTTGAACGGCATCTAGGGGGTTAATATCATCAACACTATCTGAACGGCATCCAGAGTGTTCATATGAACACTACTTGAACGGCATCCAGGGGGCTAATATCATCAACACTATTTGAACGGCATCTAGGGGTTTAATATCATCAACACTATCTGAACGGCATCCAGAGTATTCATATGAACACTATTTGAACGGCATCTAGGGGGTTAATATCATCAACACTACTTGAACGGCATCCAGGGGGCTAATATCATCAACACTATTTGAACGGCATCTAGGGGGTTAATATCATCAACACTATCTGAACGGCATCCAGAGTGTTCATATGAACACTTTTTGAACGGCATCTAGGGGGTTAATATCATCAACACTATTTGAACGGCATCTAGGGGGTTAATATCATCAACACTATCTGAACGGCATCCAGAGTGTTCATATGAACACTATTTGAACGGCATCTAGGGGGTTAATATCATCAACACTATTTGAACGGCATCTAGGGGGTTAATATCATCAACACTACTTGAACTGCATCCAGGGGGTTAATATCATCAACACTACTTGAACGGCATCCAGGGGTTAATATCATCAACACTATCTGAACGGCATCCAGAGTGTTCATATGAACACTATTTGAACGGCATCCAGGGGGTTAATATCATCAACACTACTTGAACGGCATCTAGGGGGTTAATATCATCAACACTATCTGAACGGCATCCAGAGTGTTCATATGAACACTACTTGAACGGCATCCAGGGGGTTATATCATCAACACTATTTGAACGGCATCTAGGGGTTAATATCATCAACACTATCTGAACGGCATCCAGAGTGTTCATATGAACACTATTTGAACGGCATCCAGGGGGTTAATATCATCAACACTATCTGAACGGCATCCAGAGTGTTCATATCATCAACTACTTTGAACGCGCATCCAGGGGCTAATATCATCAACACTATTTGAACGGCATCTAGGGGTTTAATATCATCAACACTATCTGAACGGCATCCAGAGTATTCATATGAACACTATTTGAACGGCATCTAGGGGGTTAATATCATCAACACTACTTGAACGGCATCCAGGGGGCTAATTTCATCAACACTATTTGAACGGCATCTAGGGGGTTAATATCATCAACACTATCTGAACGGCATCCAGAGTGTTCATATGAACACTTCTTGAACGGCATCCAGGGGGTTAATATCATCAACACTACTTGAACGGCATCTAGGGGGTTAATATCATCAACACTATCTGAACGGCATCCAGAGTGTTCATATGAACACTACTTGAACGGCATCTAGGGGGTTAATATCATCAACACTATTTGAACGGCATCTAGGGGGTTAATATCATCAACACTACTTGAACTGCATCCAGGGGGTTAATATCATCAACACTACTTGAACGGCATCCAGGGGTTAATATCATCAACACTATCTGAACGGCATCCAGAGTGTTCATATGAACACTATTTGAACGGCATCCAGGGGGTTAATATCATCAACACTATCTGAACGGCATCCAGAGTGTTCATATGAACACTACTTGAACGGCATCCAGGGGGCTAATATCATCAACACTATTTGAACGGCATCTAGGGGGTTAATATCATCAACACTACTTGAACGGCATCCAGTGGGCTAATATCAACAACACTATTTGAACGGCATCTAGTGGGTTAATATCATCAACACTTTCTGAACGGCATCCAGAGTGTTCATATGAACACTATTTGAACGGCATCTAGTGGGTTAATATCATCAACACTACTTGAACGGCATCTAGGGTGGTAATATCATCAACACTATCTGAACGGCATCCTGAGTGTTCATATGAACACTACTTGAACGGCATCCAGGGTGTAATATCATCAACACTATTTGAACGGCATCTAGGGGGTTAATATCATCAACACTATTTGAACGGCATCCAGAGTGTTCATATGAACACTACTTGAACGGCATCCAGGGGGCTAATATCATCAGCACTATTTGAACGGCATCTAGGGGGTTAATATCATCAACACTATTTGAATGGGGGTTAATATCAGTGTTAAGACCATGAGTCATTTGGTATTTAAATATGTGAAGGATTCAGGGATGTGTGTGCTGCAGCTGAGTGTTAAACATGTGCGAGGTAATTGCCGTTTCATGAAGACCTTACGTGAAATGGGATTTTGTAAACACTGTCAAATAGGGGTGGTGTGGTAGCCCAGTGGTTGAAGCGTTCGCTCGTCACGCCGAAGACCCGGGTTTGATTCCCTACATGGGTACAATGTGTGAAGCCCATTTCTGGTGTTCCCCGTCGTGATATTGCTGGAATATTGCTAAAAGCGGCGTACAACTAAGCTAAGTCACTGACTCACCCTCTCACTATCAAATATAGGTAATCCCAAGGTTATAGGCGAGGTTCCAGCACAGTCATTGGCGACTTGACAAAAAACACATCCCACTGATCCCTTATTGGCTATTTTTCAAATTCAGTTCAACGGGTAAATACCTGATATTTACATTTACAGCATACAGTAAACGATGCCGCGAATGGCGAAATCGTCACGTGTCAAAAATGGCCAGATTTACGATGTACATAATTCTTACTGGTCATTTCAGTAATTGTGGTTTACCTAAAAAACAGTATGTTAGATCAAGAAACAGTGAACTGGGGGAGATATTTGTCTTTCTGGCATCCAGGGATACGTAAAGCTGAGATGATTTTGGTGATGATTGTTTTCAGTTTGATTTTGTATAGCGAGTGTTTAGTCAATGTAGAATGGGTACATTTCCCTGGGGCACCAACAGGGTTAAATCTGTCCTATCTGGCTGAAAAGGCGGCCGGGCCCCTCAGTGTATATCTGTGACGTCACCAGCAGTGTGACGTCACTGTCACTGTACAAATGGCGCCACGTCAACAGGGTGAACCTCGGCTCAGTCTGAGGTCACAGAGTGCAGGCGACATGTAAACAAACAGTTTGTTGTTGTCGGTTTCACAATTTGCGATATTCCCAGAACAAAATTAACACAGAATAATGTTAAGACGGACGACGTTTACGTACAGTCACACACCGTTTATATTTACACTCACTTCACAATTTTCTTACCTGATCCTACGAGCCTCCAAACACAACAAATGACAAAATGTCTGAAAATACATTCAACAGATTTTATTTATATTCAGGAAGAAAAAATTGTGAACAAGATTGAACAGCGCACACCCCGTCAGTGTCAGCAACGACGTGTGCCCCGTCTCTGTCCACACCAACACCAACTTCAGTGTCCACCACGTGACTCCAGGAACTCCACCACTCGCTGATGTCCCCAGACTCTCGCCCTGTCGGCCGCTGTTTCCCCCGTCGTTGTTCCTGGCGTTGATGTCCACCATGTTCATGGACACGATCAGCTTCATGGTCTCCAGGTCTCCACCATCACAGGCCCAGTGAAGGATGTTGTTACCGAACCCGTCCACCAGCGACACATTAGCCCTTCTACACACCAGAAGCTCCACCACATCGCTGTGTCCATTATATGCTGCCACCATCACCGGTGTCGTGCTGTACTCTCCTCTACTGTTGATGTCCACCACGTTCAGGGACACGATCAGCTTCACGGTCTCCAGGTCTCCACCATAACAGGCCGAGTGAAGGACGTTGTTACCGTCCCTGTCCACCAACGACACATTAGCCCCTCTTCCCACCAGGAACTCCACCACATCACTGTGTCCCCTCCGTGCTGCCGCCATCACCGGTGTCCTGCTCCTCCATCCTCCACTGTTGATGTCCACCACGTTCAGGGACACGATCAGCTTCACGATCTCCAGGTCTCCACCATCACAGGCCGAGTGAAGGACGTTGTTACCGTCCCTGTCCACCAGTGACACATCAGCCCCTCTACCCACCAGGAACTCCACCACATCGCTGTGTCCCCTCCATGCTGCCACCATCACCGGTGTCAGGCTGTTCCATCCTCTCGTGTTGATGTCCACGTGACCCGCTGACAGGATCCGCTTCACTGTCTCCAGGTCACCGGCCTTGCTGGCGGAGTAGAGGCGGCGGTCTGCTGCTGGTAATGGAGTCGCTGCAACACAAAGTAAACATCAGACATCTGTGCCACACATCTACAATGTTTTCAACATGTTGATACGTGACTCGGAAATTGCTACATCGTTTAATCAATTCCATCATGGCTGACAACAATACAACATGGCGGGAATGTCAACATGTGGTTTCTAGGATAAACGATGGTGTGTTTAATACAGAACTTTCTGTTAGAGCCAGAAGTTGTAGCAATATTTTGTGCACGGCTGGAGAGTGTTGATGTCTGTTGAACTTTACAAGTGGATAATGTCAGTACGGCTGTTGTTTGGTATTAAAGGGTGGCGACCTCAGCATAATTATCTGGTTCATGGAATCCTGTGACTGACAACATGAACGTCGATCGACACCACTAAGCTTCCTGTCTGCTGGGTTTTCCGACCTACCGTGGGAGTCTTGTGTCGTCACTGGCATTGGTGGGACCGTCTTGCTCAGGCTCGGGTCAGTCGAGGCTGAAACAGAGAATATGTTCTCCAGAGAACTACATATAGCACATAAGCATTATAACTATTGGTCTCGCTTTCCACAAAGTTTTGCCGTTCAGTATTATGTAGTATGTATTCCAAATACATTTGTTATAGCAGAGGCATTAGGAATGTATGTTTCTATTTGATTACGATAACTGTTGATCGAGACCGCGTGTCTATGCCCGAGACAAAGAGTACTTTCTAAATTCATTTTTACAGTTTGAATCTGAAAATGTAATAAGCCGTACACTGTGTCTTAACACCTGAGATGCTCCTCTTTGTTCAAATGTAGTAAATGAATACATAGTGAATGAATACATAGTGAATGAATACAACTGTTGATTGTTACTTTGTTTTGAAATATAAACATGAACGGTGAAACTAAAGAATCTGTTCGCCCTCAGGGTTAGGGTTAAGTTACTAACGACTATATTCTACAGGGAATTCATATATAAACATATAGTACATGATTATTCACATTGATAATTAATTATTACACTGAATGAAAAAAATAGATAAACAAACAAAAACATCTGCACTTATACCTATTCCCCTTTATGGAATGACTTCCTGTTTAGTTTGAATTTATTAACCGTGACTGGAATTCAAAGATGCCTTTCCTTCACATATTGATACAAAATGCATGAAATATTTAATACATAGTAAAACAACATCAAACGACACGAACCACTGATAATGCGGTTTCGCCACTTGACTTGATATTTATGCAACACAGTTTAAATTTAATGTCAGGTAAACTCTGTGAAGCACTCACAAAATGTCAGAATACCGAGCGATGGCGGCAGTGCAGTTTTCACTCAACTACATGATACTGTCTAAGTCGGAAACTGCAGCTGACAAAGCCGTACCTGTTGATGGAAGCAATGTGCTTTGATAAACAACAAGGGTACAAACACGTGGCAGTGTGTGGTGGTAAAGATCGACATATCAGCTGACAAAGCCGTACCTGTTGATGGAAGCAATGTGCTTTGATAAACAACAAGGGTACAAACACGTGGCAGTGTGTGGTGGTAAAGATCGACATATCAGCTGACAAAGCCGTACCTGTTGATGGAAGCAATGTGCTTTGATAAACAACAAGGGTACAAACACGTGGCAGTGTGTGGTGGTAAAGATCGACATATCAGCTGACAAAGCCGTACCTGTTGATGGAAGCAATGTGCTTTGATAAACAACAAGGGGTACAAACACGTGGCAGTGTGTGGTGGTAAAGATCGACATATCAGCTGACAAAGCCGTACCTGTTGATGGAAGCAATGTGCTTTGATAAACAACAAGGGTACAAACACGTGGCAGTGTGTGGTGGTAAAGATCGACATATCAGCTGACAAAGCCGTACCTGTTGATGGAAGCAATGTGCTTTGATAAACAACAAGGGTACAAACACGTGGCAGTGTGTGGTGGTAAAGATCGACATATCAGCTGACAAAGCCGTACCTGTTGATGGAAGCAATGTGCTTGATAAACAACAAGGGTACAAACACGTGGCAGTGTGTGGTGGTAAAGATCGACATATCAGCTGACAAAGCCGTACCTGTTGATGGAAGCAATGTGCTTTGATAAACATCAAGGGTACAAACACGTGGCAGTGTGTGGTGGTAAAGATCGACATATCAGCTGACAAAGCCGTACCTGTTGATGGAAGCAATGTGCTTGATAAACAACAAGGGTACAAACACGTGGCAGTGTGTGGTGGTAAAGATCGACATATCAGCTGACAAAGCCGTACCTGTTGATGGAAGCAATGTGCTTTGATAAACAACAAGGGTACAAACACGTGGCAGTGTGTGGTGGTAAAGATCGACATATCAGCTGACAAAGCCGTACCTGTTGATGGAAGCAATGTGCTTTGATAAACAACAAGGGGTACAAACGCACGTGGCAGTGTGTGGTGGTAAATATCGACATATCAGCTGACAAAGCCGTACCTGTTGATGGAAGCAATGTGCTTTGATAAACAACAAGGGTACAAACACGTGGCAGTGTGTGGTGGTAAAGATCGACATATCAGCTGACAAAGCCGTACCTGTTGATGGAAGCAATGTGCTTTGATAAACAACAAGGGTACAAACACGTGGCAGTGTGTGGTGGTAAAGATCGACATATCAGCTGACAAAGCCGTACCTGTTGATGGAAGCAATGTGCTTTGATAAACAACAAGGGTACAAACACGTGGCAGTGTGTGGTGGTAAAGATCGACATATCAGCTGACAAAGCCGTACCTGTTGATGGAAGCAATGTGCTTTGATAAACAACAAGGGTACAAACACGTGGCAGTGTGTGGTGGTAAAGATCGACATATCAGCTGACAAAGCCGTACCTGTTGATGGAAGCAATGTGCTTTGATAAACAACAAGGGTACAAACATGCGTGGCAGTGTGTGGTGGTAAAGATCGACATATCAGCTGACAAAGCCGTACCTGTTGATGGAAGCAATGTGCTTGATAAACAACAAGGGTACAAACACGTGGCAGTGTGTGGTGGTAAAGATCGACATATCAGCTGACAAAGCCGTACCTGTTGATGGAAGCAATGTGCGATAAACAACAAGGGTACAAACACGTGGCAGTGTGTGGTGGTAAAGATCGACATATCAGCTGACAAAGCCGTACCTGTTGATGGAAGCAATGTGCTTTGATAAACAACAAGGGTACAAACACGTGGCAGTGTGTGGTGGTAAAGATCGACATATCAGCTGACAAAGCCGTACCTGTTGATGGAAGCAATGTGCTTTGATAAACAACAAGGGTACAAACACGTGGCAGTGTGTGGTGGTAAATATCGACATATCAGCTGACAAAGCCGTACCTGTTGATGGAAGCAATGTGCTTTGATAAACAACAAGGGTACAAACACGTGGCAGTGTGTGGTGGTAAAGATCGACATATCAGCTGACAAAGCCGTACCTGTTGATGGAAGCAATGTGCTTTGATAAACAACAAGGAATTTACAAACACGTGGCAGTGTGTGGTGGTAAATATCGACATATCAGCTGACAAAGCCGTACCTGTTGATGGAAGCAATGTGCTTTGATAAACAACAAGGGTACAAACACGTGGCAGTGTGTGGTGGTAAAGATCGACATATCAGCTGACAAAGCCGTACCTGTTGATGGAAGCAATGTGCTTTGATAAACAACAAGGGTACAAACACGTGGCAATGTGGTGGTAAAGATCGACATATCAGCTGACAAAGCCGTACCTGTTGATGGAAGCAATGTGCTTTGATAAACAACAAGGGTACAAACACGTGGCAGTGTGTGGTGGTAAAGATCGACATATCAGCTGACAAAGCCGTACCTGTTGATGGAAGCAATGTGCTTGATAAACAACAAGGGTACAAACACGTGGCAGTGTGTGGTGGTAAAGATCGACATATCAGCTGACAAAGCCGTACCTGTTGATGGAAGCAATGTGCTTTGATAAACAACAAGGGTACAAACACGTGGCAGTGTGTGGTGGTAAAGATCGACATATCAGCTGACAAAGCCGTACCTGTTGATGGAAGCAATGTGCTTTGATAAACAACAAGGGTACAAACACGTGGCAGTGTGTGGTGGTAAAGATCGACATATCAGCTGACAAAGCCGTACCTGTTGATGGAAGCAATGTGCTTGATAAACAACAAGGGTACAAACACGTGGCAGTGTGTGGTGGTAAAGATCGACATATCAGCTGTCAGAGTGATTAACATTCCGTCTGTTTCAACATTAAAAATAACGAGAATTAAGCATAATCCATAATCTACATTCATTTGCATTATTTTAAAATGTTGCAGAAATTAGTGCTGGGGCGATTAATCGTAGGATCGGTTAATCGTTCGATCTAAGTCAAAATAAACGATTGTTGAATACAAATAAACTGCAGATCGATAATCGGAAATAATCATTATTTGGATGCACGGAATCCCGCACATACATTAAAACGTTTTATTCTACCTTATCATGTTTTCTTTTACCGAACAATCAGGGCCCCGTTCCTCACAGCGATCGTAGAGCTAAGATAACCGTAAATCCCATACTTTATCATAGATCTAGACTTATGACTGTCGTAGCGATCGATCGTTTGAGGAACGGGGCCCAGGTCGTCGTCGTCCATTAAAACGTTTTATTCTACCTTATCATGTTTTCTTTTACCGAACAATCAGGACCCGTTCCTCACAGCGATCGTAGAGCTAAGATGATCGTAAATCCCATACTTTAACATAGATCTAGACTTATGACTGTCGTAGCGATCGATCGCTTGGGGAACGGGGCCCAGGTCGTCGTCGTCGTCATTGCTTGTTTACTTCTTAAACAGAAGCTGTGTACTACACAAGTGCGCATGCCTCCCCTGTCAGCCAATGGCAATGCTAGATATATTTAGATTAGGCTGTCCCTTTCCCAAAAAGGTCACGTCGTCATTGAAATACTACGAGTTGTAAAGTGGAGTAAAGTGGAGTAAAGTGGTGGATAATGACTAATCATAGGTGAAAAGAAAAAGATCCATGTTTTTCCAGGGAAAGCAAAGAGCCAGGTTTGGCAACATTTTGGTTTTTATCGGGAAGAGTGCTATGGTTTCAAACTGGACAAATCTAAGGCAATATGCCGTTTGTGCTCGACAGCCATACGTTACAATGGTAATACCACGAATCTCAATAACCACCTGAAAAACACCCACCCAACGAGTTGTAGTGATACACTTGTATCAAATCAAATACCAATATCATCGATGTTGACAAGTACCAAACCAAAACAAAAAATAGCAAAAACTAACCCCAAATCGATCGCCATTACCAAAGCAATCGCGGAACACTTGTTTTTAGACATGAAGCCTCTCTCTACTGTTGATTCCAAATCATTCAAGAAACTATTTGATGTGGTTACAGACTCTGTGTATGAAATGCCCAGCAGGTTTTACTTTAAGGAGAACTTGATCCCTCAAATGTACAATGATACAAAATTACAGGTTTTGTTCAACATGACA